CAAAATTAACCTTGGAGTTGGTCGGTTGAAAAAAAATGTCATGAAAAAACCAGTGGGGGACCCTTTCCTCTCCACCTAAAGCCGCTCCTGATAAATTGTACTCAAAATTTTTCTGACTCTATAAAAAATCTGTCAAAAACTTGAAAAATCAAAACTTGTCTGAAAAAAATACCCCGAAAACAAATATTTGTTTTGGTATCGAATCAGCGGAACGAAAATTGGGTACCAGTCTCCCGTTAATTAATCAGATAAAATTAAAAGAACACGCACAGTGAAACAAGACTGCTCGTATCAGGGTGAAGCCCTGAATGTTCCGACTGCAGTTTAAGGTTTTTGGAGCAGTAATAACATAAGAAAAAAAATGTAACAAAATGAAATGAATATTTTCTCTAAAATTTTAAATTTTGTTTGAAAAACATCACCCCACACGCCATATAAAGTAGTCAAGAAAAGGTTTTGCTCCTAGTAACTAATCAATTATGGCAAATAAGCTTCTTTCAATCAATTTGGAACGATTTCTAAGACGGATTAAATCTCCGCATACGCGTTAATAGCGCGAAATATATCGCGCGTTAATTGTCACAAATTGGCCAAAATGGCAATCTTTAATCCCCCAAAACGTTACAAAAAAAGATTGCAAGTGAAATATCTTTTCAAATTTAAATTAAGGTCAACAATACCCTTCGAATGATAAAAAAAAATGGTCCGAAATGGCTAGTTAAGTCGAAATTTGTCTGAAGAAAAAAAATCATCCCGAGCACAAATATTTCGTTACTTTCTTATCGAAAGTCGAAACAATAGCATGCGCATGTTTATTTATTTTTACATAACTCGTAACTCTATGCTGTGCTTAGCTCAGTACTAACAAAAAGGTTTGCTTCCTAAAGATTGGTTTCTTAAATATCTCGCCCAAACATTGATTTTTTTCCGACATCGTTTCTAAAGGTATTTTCTGGAAATGAACCAAGTCGTTTTTTCTGTTTTTTTTTGAAAATTGATTTTGTTGTCTAACTCTTGAAGCAGCAGTTACTTCGAAAAATAACTTCGTGTATGTTTCCTCCTGTTTAAAAAAACTTGATTAAAACACCAATATTTATCATTCATTGTTGCCAAAATTGCAATCAAACAACTTCAACCCATACTAATGTACATTCTGAAATGACTGATTTGGCTTGATTTTAATCATATTCTTGTGTTTTAGAAAAAATTCGAGTGCGGTTTATGAGTGGAAGGAATTTTTCGGAAAAAGAAATTTCAGCAAAATTATTTCACATTCATAGGTACGTTGTCTTTTTTTCATAGAGAAAGCTTGAAAACTGAGCTAATAAATACTCATATTTGTCTAGCTTTTTTAACCTTTAAAATCCATTCTGATTACACCTGATATGATCGTTTTAGACACGAGCAAAATATCAATCAGGTGTTTATAGAAAACATTGCACTTATCCAACTGGACGAAAAAGCTGAGTTCTCAAATCAAGTTCTCGAACCATGCAGCTCGTACTTTTTCAATTGTGGCGGGCATTACGAATTCAAGGCAGTCGGAACATTTAACAGGACAGATTCAGAAACTTCGCAAATACGAGAAAATGTCATTAGAGAGTCTTATAATTTCAGGTTTCTAATCAACAGTCCATATAATTACTTAGGAGCTAATTTGATCTGCAGTGCTGACCTTGAGAAGAAGAAATTGTCTAGTAGTGATTATGGCACTGCGCTTTTTGCAACTAATCGGAACGACAAAGCAGTTTGCATGTATGGAATGGCAATTGGAGCAGACGAGTGGAAAAGTGAATACGGACTAACGTACTTCCTTCAATTGACCAAACTCAAAGACTGGTTGGATCAATTTCTAACTGAACAATTCAGTCAAAAACTGCAACATGTTTTGTAGAAAGATGATGGTGGCAAAGTAGTTCTTGAAGGAAAACTTTTCTCTAGTAATTCTTTCTCAGTTTCCAATAATAAATGTCAATGCTAGTGTCATTAAGTGTTAACTGTCATTAACGCACGATATCTATCTAACTTTTCCAGATCGCTTCAAAAACTGCAGCTCAAGATTTAAGGGATTGTATTGTTTCCATGATTTTTGGCCTAGTCGTTTTATTAGTACAGCCGTAAAACAAAATTTTAAATTTCAGCTGGTGTGGTGCAAAATTCGTTCAAAAACAGCCTCCGAATGTTCGTCAGCATTAAGTATTGTCAGTGTCTGCATTAAGTGTTACACTTTTCTTGTAAAAACGTTTCCTGCAGACGGGGTACTTGAAAATGGTATGCAAAAACATTCACAGCTTAAGTAGTGAGTTTGTGATACTTAGTGTAGATAACTCAACACATAGGAACAAATAGGACCGAAGGTTGGTGAGAACTTTCGAAAGTTTATCGTCGAACGAACGTTAGAACTTTCGAGCATTCGAAAATTCGGTTGCACCACTATTCAGATGTACCCAAAAAAAAACAATAGAACATACAAATCAATTTGCTGTTAAAATTTGCTGGAAAAAATCAGATGCTTCAACTGAATACTTATCTATTAGCGGCGTTTCCTTACTCGAGTTGATATTCAAGTTTTTTCCAGTTACGGTATAAAATAAAACTTTTTATGGGATTGCCAAGTTTTTGGGCGTTGAACAGGTTCATCTTGACGTATGCCGGTAGATAGACGTTCCTGTGCCGCGTTTCTGTTGTATTCACTCAAACTTGCGTAGCTGTTTTATCCCTAGGTTAAGGCTTTTTCTGGTCTGCATCAAGTTTGGTCTTCTTTCCCGGTTCGAGATGCTCGATTAATGTTTTAACTTCCTCGACCAAAAATCGGTGTGTTTCGACCGTCTCGATCAAGCTTAGGTATTTTTCTACTTTCTTGACCAAATTTTGGAATGTTTTGATTTTCTCGACCCAACAAAAAAGTGTGCGACTTGTTTTCGTTCCAGTTCAGATTTGTTTCAACTTTTTCGACCAAGATCATCAAAGTCATTTAATAAAACCAAACGAACAACAACTTTTTACTGACACGATCAAGTCCCCTGGTCAGAAAACAAATTTTTCTCTGAACTAAATTTCTTGTCAGTTAAACACGTTATACTACTCCAGAAAGCCGATTTCAATTCACCAGGTCTTAAGTTAACTCATATTAACACAAATAAATTGTAACTACAGTTAAATTCAGAGTTTTCACTGAGTCAAAAACTGACTTCATAAAAAGGGCAATCAGCCAAAAGTGGATTGCATTAAAGATTTTTGGCACGATTCTCTGCTACAATTCCTGCTCAACGAAAACAAACTTGTATTGAAACACTTTCAAAACTTTTATTTGTCTGCAGAGAAGTTAGACGTTTCTAAGTTAAGGTGAAAACTTCATCTTTTCAAACCGAATATGCGAACTGTTCGTAGATGTTGGCAGTCAAAGTCACGCCGGTTTTTTCAGCTCTCGCGAACTAGAGACTATCAAAACTACAATTTTGTAAGCAGGGGATGTATGTGATCGAGCTGTAACACTCTTGTACCTTAAGCGGCTTAAAAAGTCTGCCATAATTTCATCGATTGTTCTTTGTTAAGACATGTTTCCTTAAATTAACACAACAAACCAGTTTTTAAGGTGATTTAACTTCATAAGAGAGAATCGTCGCAGAGAATCGAGCCAAAACTCTGTACTGCAATCTATTTTTGGCTGACTGCGCTTTTTATGAAGACTTAATCGGCGCGAGTTAATAAAAGACTTAAGCAGCGCGACTTAAGCGGCGCGACTTAAGAAAAGACTTAAGCGGCAAGACTTAAGAAAAGGCTTAAGCGGCGAGACTTAAAAAAAGGCTCAAGCGGCGCGACTTAAGAAAAGACTTAAGCGGCGCGACTTAAAATAAGACCGACGGCGCGACTTAGGAAAAGAATTAAGCGGCGCGACTTAAGAAAACAACTTAAGGCGCGGTTTAAGAAAAGACTGAAGCGGCGCGACTTAAGATAAGACGGACGGCGCGACTTAAGAAAAGAATTAAGCGGCGCGACTTAAGAAAACAACTTAAGGCGCGGTTTAAGAAAAGACTGAAGCGGCGCGACTTAAGAAAAGACCGACGCCGCGACTTAAGAACATTTTAAGCGGCGCGACTTAAGAAAAGACTTTAAAGGCGCGACTTAAGAAAAGACTGAAGCGGCGCGACTTAGGAAAATGCTTAAGCGGTGCGACTTAAGAAAAGACTGACGGCGCGACTTAGGAAAAGACTTAAGCGGCGCGACTTAGGATAAGACCGACGGTGCGACTTAAGAAAAGACTGACGGCGCGACTTAAGAAAAGATTTAAGTGGCGCGACTTAAGAAAAGAATTAAGTGGCAAGACTTAAGAAAAGACTGACGGCGCGACTTAAAAAAAAAGACTTAAGCGGCGCGACTTAAGATAAGACCGACGGAGCGACTTAAGAAAAGACTTAAGCGGCGCGACTTAAGAAAAGATTTAAGCGGCGCGACTTAAGAAAACAACTTAAGGCGTGCTTAAGAAAAGACCGACGCCGCGACTTAAGAAAATTTTAAACGGCGGGACTAAAGATAAGACCGACGGCGCGACTTACGAAAATACGTTTGGTATTGTGCTCAGTCGCGCATGTCGCGGCGGTTTGTTCTCAGTCGCGCCGGTCTGAAATTGAAAACTTTCAGTCGCGCCGGTCGCGCCATTACCTTAGGTCGCGCTGATTCCGACGGTGTTTTGTGTCGCGCCGGTCGCTATGGGTTTTTTTCAGTGACACCGGTCTTCAATTGCCAAGTTTCGGTCGCGCCGGTCTGGACGTGCCAATATAAATTCGCGCCGGTCTGGAATTGCCATATTTGAGTCGCGCCAGTCTTTTCTTAAGTCGCGGACCTCGACCCGGGAGGGTATGGATAGTTAACGAATTGCAAAAAGTTGTAGAATAGTTCGAAAGCATATTGAAAACTCTATGACCCATTTTTTCTTTTTCACGATGAAAAACAACGTTCCAAAAACAATTGAATTATACATTGATTATAGAGACATTTAGTTAAATAATGAAATTCAGTGAATAAAAAGAAATATACAATATCAAAGTACATTGTGTAATCATCGGCCATAGACTTTGCATTTCTAATTGCACAATTTAGCTTCATTGCAAAATTCATGAATATTAACCAATAAAATATTTCTACAGATTTTGCATTTAAATTTAGATGGTACTATTCATTTGAGCCGTAATTTACAAAATTAGTCATTTTGTAGAGCTTCTACTAGTTGAATTCCAGAGGTAATAATCCCAATTCCACCACAAACTATTCCGATTCCAATTATGGTGTATTCCCAAACTTTAGTGGCCGGAGATAGAGTATGGCCTTTCAATTTCAGATGGAAAACACAGGGCCATACAAAAGATAACATAGTTCCAGTGAAGTTTCCAACTAGACCCATTAGAATTGCGAAGTGGGGAATCCCCGCTCCCAGGAGCATCGTGAACACGACAACTAATAGGCGAATCAAAAGTGCCCAATCTTTGAATAGCCCGTCTTTGGCGTAACAAGTCCCCCCTAAAACTTGGGTGAACTTATTATCTTCAGCTTCTTTTCGGGTTTCGAAGAACCGATTTTGAACTATGTCGCAAGCTGCAAAATACGGTAATGGGTACGATAAAAGAGCTTTTAGGAACAGGAAAATATTAGTCATAAATCTAAACCAATTATCGGGAAGGTTGTTGGTTATAACTTCTCGGGTGTTATTGCCGAATGTTAGGAACCCAATCCACGCGAACATGCACTTGAAAAGAGCAGCTAGCGCGTGGGTCCAGAATAACATGCATTCGAATCGATGTCGCTTTTGCATGGATCCCTCGAGAGCTGGAAGGAATATCTGGCTAGTATAACTGAAGACTATGATTCCAAGAGCTACTGGCACCTGAAGAAAAAACTCATTTTCAATCAATGTGACGACGCTTCAAAAGCTATATGCTAAATTGAAAAAAAAGACAGGTTTCTTTTCAGACGATACAATAAGAAATTTAATTCGAAGTTAATGAATAATTTAAAACAAAAACCAGTAAAATACACTGAGTTGTCTGATAGTTGTCTGAAATCATCGCTGTTGTCTGATAGTTTCAACAGCGATCATTTATAAATTCTTCAAGAAACAAACAAACAAAAGCATACAATTTTACTTAAAATTAGTTGACCTTCTAAGATTGATTCCAATCTATGGTAGGTTCAAAAATGGAGAGAAATTTGCCTAAAACGTGGTAAAAAATTAATAAAAAATTGTAATAACAAAAACTGCCAAAAATGTGAAAGGTTGGAAAACATCTGCCACAAAGTTGAGAAAAAAAAACGGCCAGAATGTCTTTGTGGATTGAACTAAGTTGACCTGTCTGAGATCGATTCCAATCTCCACCTCCTGCCAGTGCCACTGTCCAATGTGAGTGAGACAGTAGCCTATGATGATGATATTAATACAAGCATGGGAGACTGTGTTGTAGAAGCTCAGCCTAGCCACTGCCCTGTAGTTCTGCAGGAATGCACACGGCAGTAAGAATATTGATGACAGCATGATCCAAGATGTAAGATCCAGTGCAACTAATGGAAGGCAGCAAACAAATTACAAGGGTGACCAGATGATTTATTATTTCAAATTATACCTTTTCAAATTATTGTTTTATTTAAATTGTTATTTTTTGCCCCTGGCCCTACCCACTGCTTTTTCCGCAGGGGGGGGGTATGTTTATTTTGCAGTTTTCGTTGTCTTCCACCTGGAGAAGTCGGATGGCATTTGGAAGCCTCGAACTGGGACCAAAAAGGATTGAAGTTCCCAATGTCATCCGCCTTCCTCTTCACATTACTCATCAACTTCGGTATATTATAAGTATAAAAACAAGATTCGTAGGCATATTTAGTGACAAAGGTTATTGTTTAGCATACACTTGAAACGCAAAAACAAAAAACTCTTTATTTGATTTGAGAGCACTTCAAAACTAGCTTCAAAAAGAGCACATCTGTTGAAATGTTTCAAAATAGCCTAAAAAGCCCCACCATCTCTTCTGACACTTACGCACCACGAAAACGTCTTGATTGCATGTGCTATCCTGAAAACTCATACTTTGAGGCACATAAGAATTTCCCTGCTGATGCAATTAATGTCAATTTTAACCTGTACATGTATTTTATATTTACGTCACTTCTAAAAGTTTTCACCTTTAACACCCTGGTTGTAAAAAGATTTAGAAGCTCAACACTCTGCCGATCATTTATCTTTTCATTTAACCTTTTGCAAATTTTTAGGGTTTCGATTCAACCTCTTAAATCCATTTCTTTAACGCCTCTTCAATTTTCCATATAAAAAAAAATTTTTTTTCTGTGTTCCAGAAAAGGTCAGTTTAGTCACCCTGTGGAAACGCCTCCTGGAGTAAATCCCCACACAACAGTACATACAGTACACATGTCATGATTAGTTCTATCAGTTGAGCAGCCTGGACTATCTTCCCTCCGTATGCTTTACCCCACACGTCTTCTGCTATTTGGATGTAGCTGGTCCTCACCCGGATAGGCTGGCCTCGTTCGTCTTCATCGTACAGACAATAGACCAGAATTTTTCCTGAAATTTGAAACTTGGTGTTGGTGTTGGTCAATGCCGATGATCAACACCAATATTGAAAAACATTGCAAGAACTCTCAAAGAGTCTCGTTAAAATGAAATGAAAACTCTTGACATAACAACGTTTTAGCTGAAATATTTGAAATTCAAAGTAACTCCGACCCATCCCACCTGAAAAATAAAAACACATGGAAAAAATGTGAGACAATAAACCCATATAACATAACGACGAAACCGTTAATTCGAAAAAAAAACATCATACAATTTCTTCAAACTCAGTCAAAGAATGATAAATTTAAAGGTTACAAAACATTTCTCAAATATTAAAAAAAATAGCCGGTTACTGTGCAAGTAGCACAAAATGTTCTGAACCATAGTCTTAAAAAACACAGAATTTTTTTTTCAAACTATTGTCGTTTTCTTTTTTGGAGTGGTGTAATCAAAGGAGCTGACCAAAAATTTACGGATTAGGTGTATTCGACAGCCATAGCAAAATAAGCAAAATGAAAAAAAATGTACAAACGAAAAAAAACAAGAAAAATATCAAAAAAAAAATTGATTTTTTTCTTGCTCGCCTAATTCGCTCAAAATATAACAAACAAACAACAATTTCTACAGTTTTCTCGACTAAAAGAACTTTTTTTATGATATATCACTCAATCCAATCCGATGATTATATGTGGTACCAGATTTCGTGTGAAAAACAAAAATATCGGGAATTCGACCCCTCACTAACCAAAAGGTCACCAAATATGGCATCGATTTTCGGCCGACTGTTCTAATATACGCTAATTTTGAAGGGGAATGCGCACTAAAAAAAATGCAATTTTTTGTCAAAATTTTCATGCGGCGCTAAATTTGGCTGCATTGCTAAATTTTTGTGTTCAGGTAGCGCTCGAAAATCAATTAACCTGAAATAAGTCGTCAAATAATTCCAAAATTTGTTGAAAGTCCGCCCCTCGAGAAAATCCCGGAGCCGCCCCTGCGTCTAATAGAAAAAGGCAAGATTGCTTTGATTGTTGTGAAAGAAAAAAACTTGAGCACATCTATGGTCATGACAAGTAAGTATGGTTACTTACCTGTGTAGTATGTGATGTATGCGAAGAATACCATTGCGAACAGGGACCAGTAGCCCCCCTGATAGACCGAGTAGGGGAAGGTCACGATGAACATGCCCTGAAACGACAAGATGATATTACATCGAAAATTGCGTTTCTAAACATAAAAACTCTTACAATTCGACTCTTTAAAAATATTTTAACACAGCTTTTTTAGGCTGACTATCCCAAAAATGTTATAACGGCACTTGAAATACATTTGGCCAAACAGGATCTTGTTAGTGCTTCGAGAGAGCTCAGAAAATCTCCTTGGTGGACTCAAAAAATATGCTCAGATAATTTTCCTAAAAATTTTAAACTCCACCCATCCCCTCGCAAAAATGTTAGATTTTTTTTGCCCCAATGAGGTTGTTTTTTAACGAGTAAGCATTCGTCTATCATTCTCTACTACCGTATCTACCAGCAGTTATTGCAATGAATCAGGGAAACGAGAAGGAAAAAGGTTAATTTTTTATATGAATCTGATTCCTTCGAATTCATTTTCGTTTTCAACCGTTCGCTCTTCAGACTCAAATTATATGATACATAAATACCAATTAAATATAGTTGAGTACAATTCAAAAGCGCTCATTGCACGTAAAGGTTGATAGAATATAAATCTATAAAGTCCACTTTTGCTGACTAATTGTCAAACATTTCCTTACTGTCCCTCCCTCTAGAGTGGAATTATTGGAAATTTCAGCCCAGTTAGAAACTGAATCTCAGGATGCAAAATATAAAGGGCGTGGTTGTTCTACAATTTGGGTTAAAATGTCGTTAATGCGGCTCGGAACAATTTTTTTTATCAGTACCTTGTCATTAATAACAAGGTTAGATATGATGAACAGTTTCTTTTTAATCCAATTAATGGTAACTTTATTCCATTCACCTGCCAGAAAAAAAACCGTTCTTTAATTATAATAATTTCATGGAACTAGATTTCATAAAACTTAGAATTATTTTGATGCGCAAATAGTACAGCATTGACAGCGCGCGGGACTCAATTCGGAAATCCTTGGATACCAGCGTGTATGCTTGTTGCTTCAAAGTTGTTTTTACTCGAGAGGAATCTCTAGATCAACTATGTTATTTGTGAAAAATTAACATCAAACAAAATTTTCTAAAATTGACTTACTTTATATATCGAGAATCTTTTAAAAAAAATTAGATGCAATGTAGTTTTTGAAGAAGTTTTGATCTTGTAGAGAATAAAAGACTAATTTGACTAATTTTACTGGCGACTAAATGTTTCGTTTAATGCGAATTATAAGTTTTGACAGTTTTTAACCATTAAATTGAGTGATAATATGTTTGTTGTGTGAATTATGTCATGGGTGTTCAATTATGGTATAGCAAGAAATATACTAAACTACCTACTAAACGTATCGCCAATTTCATTCTTTATTCTATTGGAAGTGATTTACTGAACCCAAAAACCAACAAGATTGCTCGTATCAGGGCGAAGCCCTGAAAGTTCCGACTGCCTTTTAAGATCTATGGAGCATTAATAAGATTAAAAATTTCAAAGTAATGGAAAAAATAAAAAATAAATTTTTTAAATTTTAGATTTTATGTAAAAACATCCCACACACGTCATATTAAGTACAAGGTGATAGATTTTGCGCCTATTAACAAATCAATTATGGCATATAAGCTTCCTTGAACCAATTTGAAACAATTTCTATGACGGATTAAATCCCGCTTACGCGTTAATAGCGCGAAATTTATCGCGCTCTAATAGTCCCAATTTGGCCAAAAAGGCAATATTTAAACCCCCATAACTTTACAAAAAATGATCACAGG